ACTACGCGAGCACCGAAGGCGAGAGGGACTAACCAGCATAAACCTTAAACGGGCTTTGAGAAAGTCTAGTACATTTATTGATTTCTTGTAATTAGAGCAATGAATCGTTATTCTATGCGCTGAAAAACTGAGTGAGGAAAAAAAACTATCAACTTTATTTTATCTTTTTTCTATTCACTTCTACTTGCAGACAATGATTTTGTTCATGAAAGTGACTATCACCTAAAATTTTTTATTTTATTATCTAAAACTACACCTTATCAAAATAACTTCTGCGAAAAAATTTTGCGATTTGAACCAAAGACGATTTTTTAGAATTTTTTAAAAACGTTCAAATTTGCCTCCATTTAGGCACACCATTCGTCTTAGTCTTCTTTCGGGGTATGAAGTACTTTAAGTGACACGTGACTTAATCGACAGGAAAACATTACAAGTTCTGGTAGGTTTTTCTGTTTCAGTAAAATTTTCTTCTTGCGAAGACATTGTGATTCAATCCTTACTTGTAATTGATTTTTTTTTTGTGTACAGCTGGTGAAGGAAAGGTAATGCGAGTTCCTTAATTTACATCACATGACGTCATATACGAGTCTGCTAGTTTGCGTGATCAGCGGCGCGGGTGTAACGCAAAAATGTGGACTTCAAAAATTGGTTAAAAAATCGCGTTTTGTTGAAATGGCAAAATTTTTTCGCAGAAGTTATTTTAATAAGGTATACTTTCAGATGAAAAAATATAAAATTTTAGGTGATGGGCACTTTAAGGAGTAAAGCACCTTCCTCTTAAAGTTTCTACATTTGAAATTTGACAAATGTCGCTAAATAGTTTGTTATTTTCCTAATCTTTGATTTTTTAAATTTTGCTCATGAAGAACTTACCATCACTCTCTTTTTTTTCATCTCTCGGAAGGATTTCTAACTCATCTGCTTGCTCCATGGTTGTTTCATCAGAAAAATCGTCTCCTTCTTCTTCGGCGTCTTCATCCGCCTCCTGATCTATATATATAATTTCATCCCCTTCGCCAAAGTCATCTTCTTCGTCTAGATCGTCGTCATCATCATAAATACTTTCATCTTTGTTTTCACTCTTGGGTCCACTCTTTTCCTCTTTATATACGTCGTCTATGTCGACTGTGTCTTGAATTTCATTGTCTCTCCTATCTTCGCCTTGTTCGTCCTCCGATAAATGTTCGTCGTCCTCCTCATAATCATTATCGACCTCGGCCAAATTTTGCGTGGCTTCAGTCGATGCGCCTTTTTCGAAATCATTATCAAAATCTTCGACGAAAACATTCTTCATATTCAATGCCGTTTCTTTAGTTACTGTAGCACAACTGCAGAAATCTAGTAACAGAGCAACGCACAGAATAAAAAGAATGATGACAAACCAACGAGTCACCAACATTTTCTCCCTGCTTTTACTTTGTATTTGAGGGCAATTTCCAAGTACAAGCCCCTGGGGGGCTTCAGGGGCTTATATTTGGAGGGGCGAATACAAGGAGGGGCCTATTTTCGGAATTTTACGGTAGACTAGAGGCGTTTGTAAGAAACTATCTCCACCGGTACTTTACAGCAAACTTAAAAATGTCATTTCCTGCAGTTTGCGGTTTCCCATGAAAAACCTGATATTCAAGGTCTCAGTTGTATGTAGTTTTCCTATTGTTACTGCTGGCATTAGACTGTCCTCTACTTGTATATTACTTATGTACCCACAATTAAAGTTAAAATGAAACTTAGAACGTACATGTTACAGTTTGATTAAAATGAGAATGCTGCGTCTGTGGAATTCTATAGTCCTGCTGAACTTAGTGGGATCTGTTTCGTTTCACCTGGCGGAGATTCGGTTCTCAGTCCCGACTATCAGCAAAGGAGACCGGGCGGGCGACGTCGCCTGCAGCGTCCCATGCTGTCTGGGCCTGCCCCGCCAGGTAAGCGTTTCCTGGTGCGCCGTTCTCGTCTTCCTCGCCCACTTCTCCTGACATTGATCGTGTCTATGAGCACCCGGAGTCTTTGGCCTCGTCTTCTTCGCTTACGCTGATGTTCCTCGATTTCATGCTGATATAGTGCTAGTAGTAGAACAAGTTAGAATTTAACAAGCTAAAATGCAATATAAAAATGAGCGTGCTTAATTTGTTGGTTTGGTGACCAGCTGAATTTTTAATGGCCAACGAAATTTTGTGTTTAAGTGTACATAGCTCTAAAATGTTGCCAAACGTACCTTGGAAAACAAAATCTGGTGTGTCTGGTGCTGGTAAAAGTTAAACTTTTAAGATGAAATGTCCGTGAATGCATTCAAAGTCATCCGTATTTGGCAATGTATTTATCATGGGTTATGTAACCTTTTCTTTGTGGTGTTACATGGTATGCTGTTACTATTGCTTCATTAGCGGTAGGCTATATATTCGAGTTGTTCTCATTTATATTCATTCGCGTCTTACGACCGTCCCTACGCCCTCAAAATTAAATACCCAGTGACCAGGGGTTTCTCTCAGACGTAGTTTTTTGCATGCTGCTATATGAAAGGTTTAGCACGTTTTGTATGTTTACTGAATCATTGTTATACGAGCATAGTTTAGATCATTTTGTAGGGTTGTTTTTCTTGCTGTAATTTTTTACATTTCCGAGTTATCATTCTGTTTGTTGTATTATTTCCATCCATTCTGTTGATGAAGGCATAATAAAGAGGGTCGCACACGGCTCGTGTTGACACACCCCAATTGAGGTTGCTTGTTACATGATAAATGTTTTATATTCGTTTGAGCGGGGTAGCGAATTAGAATATAAATTCCTTTCCCAACGGTATTAGTGGGCTGAAAAGATCCTTTGAAAAACGCCAGTCCAACTTCATACTGATTCAAGAAAACACAGAACTGACTCTATAGGCACAATATACACGTTTGTTCGATTTACAACAGGTTATCTTTTACATCAAAATTTGTAGCAGATTGTAAATATATTTGCCATAGACTTGCCACAAGTCGACTGCGCGAGCACCGAAGGCGAGAGGGACTAACCAGCATAAACCTTAAACGGGCTTTGAGAAAGTCTAGTACATTTATTGATTTCTTGTAATTAGAGCAATGAATCGTTATTCTATGCGCTGAAAAACTGAGTGAGGAAAAAAAACTATCAACTTTATTTTATCTTTTTTCTATTCACTTCTACTTGCAGACAATGATTTTGTTCATGAAAGTGACTATCACCTAAAATTTTTTATTTTATTATCTAAAACTACACCTTATCAAAATAACTTCTGCGAAAAAATTTTGCGATTTGAACCAAAGACGATTTTTTAGAATTTTTTAAAAACGTTCAAATTTGCCTCCATTTAGGCACACCATTCGTCTTAGTCTTCTTTCGGGGTATGAAGTACTTTAAGTGACACGTGACTTAATCGACAGGAAAACATTACAAGTTCTGGTAGGTTTTTCTGTTTCAGTAAAATTTTCTTCTTGCGAAGACATTGTGATTCAATCCTTACTTGTAATTGATTTTTTTTTTGTGTACAGCTGGTGAAGGAAAGGTAATGCGAGTTCCTTAATTTACATCACATGACGTCATATACGAGTCTGCTAGTTTGCGTGATCAGCGGCGCGGGTGTAACGCAAAAATGTGGACTTCAAAAATTGGTTAAAAAATCGCGTTTTGTTGAAATGGCAAAATTTTTTCGCAGAAGTTATTTTAATAAGGTATACTTTCAGATGAAAAAATATAAAATTTTAGGTGATGGGCACTTTAAGGAGTAAAGCACCTTCCTCTTAAAGTTTCTACATTTGAAATTTGACAAATGTCGCTAAATAGTTTGTTATTTTCCTAATCTTTGATTTTTTAAATTTTGCTCATGAAGAACTTACCATCACTCTCTTTTTTTTCATCTCTCGGAAGGATTTCTAACTCATCTGCTTGCTCCATGGTTGTTTCATCAGAAAAATCGTCTCCTTCTTCTTCGGCGTCTTCATCCGCCTCCTGATCTATATATATAATTTCATCCCCTTCGCCAAAGTCATCTTCTTCGTCTAGATCGTCGTCATCATCATAAATACTTTCATCTTTGTTTTCACTCTTGGGTCCACTCTTTTCCTCTTTATATACGTCGTCTATGTCGACTGTGTCTTGAATTTCATTGTCTCTCCTATCTTCGCCTTGTTCGTCCTCCGATAAATGTTCGTCGTCCTCCTCATAATCATTATCGACCTCGGCCAAATTTTGCGTGGCTTCAGTCGATGCGCCTTTTTCGAAATCATTATCAAAATCTTCGACGAAAACATTCTTCATATTCAATGCCGTTTCTTTAGTTACTGTAGCACAACTGCAGAAATCTAGTAACAGAGCAACGCACAGAATAAAAAGAATGATGACAAACCAACGAGTCACCAACATTTTCTCCCTGCTTTTGGTCACCTAAAAGCTTCTTTCTAATATTTGAAAAAAACGAGGTATTTAAACTCACCCAACAGCGAAATATTGGTCATGATCTAAGAGACAGGTTATTAGGTACGAAAACATAGTCCTCGATTTCAGACTATTTATGGCCAAAAATGTTCCTAAAATTGTCGCCTTTCTATTTTGGTGTTTTTACTACTAGATGAGAAATTTCTGCCATTTGATTGGCTTAGAGCAGTGATATTTCAAAATTGTCCCAAATTTCCCTCGCCTAACGGCTCGTGAAATTACGTATAGCAATTTCGAAATATCACTCGTGGCATTTATGCCAAATATCACTACAAATCAAGCTGTTACCTATATTAATTCAGCTAAGCAGATTATTGCTATAGTAACAATATGGCAACATAGCAGGGTTTTTAAAATATACAACAACATTGCCTTTCTCTCTTTTTCTTTTCAAACTGATGCATAATTGCCTTGCAATGAAATAATCAGTGTTAAACCCAGCAGTGGATTCGCAGGCTTAATGCGCCATGTTGCTGCTATAATTAGCGAGTTAACAAACGGGGACGAGTATTACTACGAGTATTACGAGATTGGTTACGAGCATTCTATATCATGCGCTCCAGAGGAACGCTTGGCACAGCAATTTTCTCTCTTACGTCTCCCTATACCCTTTTTAGGAACAGCACAGAGTGGCAATTTTGAAGATATAACTCGCTAGAAATTCGTATTCGTACTTGTGATCAAATCTTAACGTTGCTACGCGTACGGCGACGGCAAAGAGAGCGCGAAACAAGCAATAGGCTTACAGCAATGTGCAAAAAATTTTGACTTTCATGACAGCCATATAAAATACTCAGCATCACTAAACAATATGCTTTTTATTACGTGCAAAGTTTTACCTCTAAAGCCGCGGACGACGCAATTCACTAGTGCAATCCTCTTTTTTAGCCGACGTTTTAAAAGCATTTTCTTGACAGTGCCGAAATGAAAAATACAAAAATCGCTTAAGGGACGCCTGAAGACTGAATGAGCCATAGAAAAAGATTTATAAGAGACCTTAGCCATTGCTGGAGAGAATCTTTTGTTCCTCAAACTATGTGATGAGCTACGGATTAACTTTTCCGCTGCTTAGCCATGTTCGTAATCGCAGCTAACAACTAAAGGTTCTCATTACATTCGGCCCGTCTTCCCTTCGCCCGTGTGAATTTTCGCCAAGGAGAAATTTAGATGATGCGAATTTTCGCTCAGACAAAATTTCGACAAAGCAAAATTTCGCTTAATGTGTGGATGCGAAATCTCGCCAAAAAAGACAGCGAAACTTCATTTCCTGGTTCAACGAAAGTTAGTAGGCACTTCAACTGAATTTCGTTGCAAACTTTCCTTGAATTTTCGTAAGAACAAGGGACGAAATTCGAGTTCGCTTTCATTTCTTTTGCACACTACTGTAATTACGAAAACAAGAACTTTTCATATACATTTCTTTAGCGTCGCTGCACAACTACAAGGATTTCCTTATGCATGGTCATCTCTGGCGGCCTGTTTTATTTCAAGCAGATAGAACGGATTTGCACTTCCTATAGCAGAAGCACTAAACAACTCTCTCAGTTCCCCTATACTATCTTCTTCTTTTAAGCAAATGTCAAGTGTTTTTCTCAGTATTTTGATTACGTGTTATGAAAGAAACAGAGCTCAGTGTTTACTTTTGAGTTATGGATGCCTTTGGCAGGTTTGCTATGAGCACTTAAGAACAGTAGACCCGTACCGTTCTAAACCTGTTATTTCACTGGTCCCCTTTAATATGCACCTCCATTGTTTTCATACAGAGATAGGGGCATTGTTATGTGACAATCCCTATTGTTTTCCCAGCTAATCAAAAACAATCTTTCAAATCGGTGCGGGATCATTCATTCAACAAAAACAGTTAATAGTTAATAGCTACTTGAATTGCGTAGAAAAGTGTTTAATACTGTCGACGGCATGAAACGAAGTAATGAGTTGACAAAAGTAAGCGAGGCCTATATTGAGCTTTATAATCGTCTTTCAGCTACAAAGAATATCTGACTCACAGAAATGAGTTGACAAAAGTAAGCAAGGCCTATATAATCGTCTTTCAGCTATAAAGAATATCTGATTCACAGAATTGATATTCAGTCTTCAGTATTCAACAGTAACACTTGTTTGTTACTACCTAAAGTTATCGCCGATTCCTACCTTTTTTAATCCTTTGAATTGATTCAAGCCTTTAGTACATCATTCGCTAGTTCGTGTTTTTTTTCTCAGTATTATGAATTGTTGTTTTGCTTTCATTGGCTAAAGATGTAAAAATGGCAGAAAATAATTAATAAAACTTAAAACAATGCCTATACTGATCTTTATAATTACTTTCAGCTACAAAGAATATCTGACTCTCTATGATTGAGTATTCAGTCGCCTTTATTCTATAGGTCTGTAACACTTGTCACTAGCCTTCAGCCACAAGTTGATCCAAAATTTCTTTAAACTTACCAAAAGGTGCTTGACAGTTCAAAAAAGTTGCTCAAAAGTTGTTCGTTAAGGAGCTGTGTCACGAAATTCAGCCAAATTAGGAAATTACAAAATACCCGTTAAATTAAGAGAAACATAAAAATAACCGCTTAAAAGTTTAAAGGAAGGTTAAAATAACATAACAATAACAACAGATACCACGGATTGGTAAAACTGAAGAAGATTGAAATTAGCGGTTTTTGAAAACTGTTCAGCCTAACAGTTTTTCAAAGTTGATCCCTGCTGCTTGCAGCCTCAAAAATAATGCTCAGGAGACATATTTGTTTTTCTTGGATCTCTAATTTTGTTATTTACATGTTAAATTTCTTTGCTTACTTTAAATTCCATAGCGATTAAGGGCGATCAGAGTAATTAGCAAAATTAAACAAAATGAACTGACCTGCTGTGACACAGCCCCTTTAAGTGAATCAAAATGACAGTCATTTTTGTATTTTTTCCAAAGCAGGTGACCCCACTGATGACATTTGATGCTTCCCATATAATTCTATAATGTGATGTAACCTGGTTACTTATTTCTCTTTCTTACACTTTTCTCTACAGCCGTTTAGCCTTTTTCTCCACAGACAAGCAATATTATTGCCATTTTGCACAATTGCTTTTTTGGCTCTGGATCGAGTTACTTTCGGAAAATCAAAGCTTTTTGAAAATGTCGGAGAAGCAATCTTTATGACAATTCTTCTTCCGATGATAGTTTTCGTGGAGGAAAGTAAAATTCAAATTCATAACGTGAAGATGTTATGAAAAATATTTGCGATCTGACGTTCGTAAGAGTAATGCCCATACAACTAATCTTCCTCCCAAACCAGTTTTAAATTATTACAATTTCGAACCCTTGTCTTCTCTTTATTTTATTGTTTAAGAACACAGAACTTCGAATTAACTTTCTTCATTGTAGGCGGCAGTAGCGCGTTTAATTCATGACAAAACTCTCGTCACTTCCCTCCTGTCTACTTCCTGCCAGCAAATATCAAGTCCTTTTCTATTTTGATTATGTTATCCTGAAAGAAACAGTAAACGACGCAGCGCTTATTCTTGAGTTAGGAATTTACTTTCATGGGAGTTGCTTAAGCACTCAAAAAGCTAAAGTCACACTTGACCATCCGTACCTCGTGCGGTTCTTACGCCTCTTTCATTTAACAATAACAATAACAATAACATTTATTATTTGTATTGCGCCTTTTCTATAAAATATTCACAAGCGCATCACAACAGTGATTAATAACTAAAATTTTACAAATCTTTCTATCAAAATCATAAAAAAAAATTTACATTTCATGCATAGCATGCTCCCACGTTTAGGTTTAACTTAATAGTACAATCAGTCACTTCTTAATTAGCTTATATCTCAACTCAGACATATTTTGCACATAAAATTCGATGAATTGTTGGTGATTTGACGCGCGTAGACAAGTGTCTCATACTTCATATTGTCGATGGCGAGCTAACTTTATCAAAAATGACCAAAAATAAGGCCCTTTTTGACCTTTCTAAGGCTTTTTCTACACTACACTATACTAGTTCTTGCACCCCTCAAAACGAACCATATCGGGTATGGTATATGTTAACACATGAGAATGGTACGTGTGTAATTAAGCGAAGCTGCGCAGCGCTGATCTTTTTCGAGTGAACCGGATAGGTTTCTGGGTAGTGTGGACAGGCGCTCGTACAAGTCCGGAGTATTTTTCATGTCTATATAATAAGTTGTCCGGTATACTGCAAACATAGCTAGGAAGAATATTTGACTCACAAGTCAGATATCCAGTCAGTCATTCGTATTCAACAATTCCTCATGTCTGGTTAGGTACGGCTCCCTTCCCAACACTTTTTAAAAATGCAAGCCTTTGCTTATTTGCTTCCTTTGCCTAGCTCCTGGTTCTATAATTTCTCCTTTTTATAATCTCTGGGTCGTCATCACTGAGCCGTTTTCCGAAAATAAGTACCAACAACAGAGGAGGATGTGAAAATCATGAAAGGGCAAAGTGGCCTGAAGAGGTTTTATTTTATTTTCAAACAGTCGCCAAAAATCATGTTTTTAATAGTGTGTCCCCAATTTTCTGCTCTCGCTCCAATTCGAAATTCCATGTGCATGAAATTAGTGAAAGGGAAAGAAGGCAACAGACTCGTATTATAATGAACGGGGATTTCTTTAGTGGATAATTGTATCTTTTGCGCGAGTTAAATCATGCAAAAACCTATAATATCTTTTTATACCCTGTTTGGCGGATAACCTTCAAAACAAACTATTTGCGATTACTCGTCTCACCGTTTTAATTAATTTATAGACGAAAGAGAGTGCTCGGCTTAAAACTCACTATATAAGAACATGTACTTAGCCGGTTTTTTGTTTTTCGTTTTTAATTTTTTTTTTTCTTTTTGCATTTTATTGTCCTAAAGAGAGAGGTATTCGTCGAACATCTAGTCAACCTTCCATAAAATAGAATGAGAAATTCATAGTGAGATTTGTATCTAACTATTTAAGTATACGCAGGAAAGAAAAATTCCCCTTGACGGATAAATTTATCACCACAATATCGTGGACCTTTTTCTTCGACCTCCAAGATTAATATTGCCGTCTCGGAATAAATTAAATACGCTCACCATTGCTGACGAAAAACAAAAATTTAAGACAGGATGAAGATTTTTTTTTCCACCTTGCCTTACCTTTTGCTCTTTGCTCTGAGATTTTTGAGTTTACAGTTTCCATAAAATGCAGTCGTTTCGTATGTCCGTAATGTCCGTAGTCAGAAGAAAAGAGGTACCGGTAATTCTGAAATCCAGATGCAAAATATTGTTTGATTCAGTTCATAAACAAGGAGGGTCCACTATTGCGGTCGACAAGAGGAACCCACAATCCTAATCTCCAGGTTGTTATTACGCATGCGTCGCCGTATGTAGCAGTTTGGACTTCCATTAAGTATGAATGGAATGCACAGAATGCAATTTGTCACGCGCATTTAAACATTCTTTCACTTGAATTGATCACGTGTGTTTTGACTGTCTCTCACGTGAAACTTACTCAAAGCACAGCCATGGAGCAAAAGCGCTTAATTTTGACCTTGATTGTTGTCGCTCGCACTCAGTAACCTTTGGTTATTGCTAGTACTCTAGTCATAATAGTCGTCGTGGTTGTTTTTTCCTGGCCATAAATTTGCAAAACAAGAGCCGGAACTTTGGTCATCGTCATGTTCTATAACATGATCGAAGGTGAAAACACGTGTGACCTATGGCTTCAGAAAAGCAAACATAACCTATTTCGTCGAAAAATTGTTAATGCAAGAAGTCACGCGTCATTTTCTTCCACGGTGGTCATCGGTGTGCTATGTGAGATGAAGGTGAAGCGTACCTTGCTGCCTCAGATCATGGGCTATAGGAAAGATGGGTTTCGACTAAACAAAGGTTAGATTTTTGTTCAATTGAGTTGAATCAACGTAGACTTTAGTCGTTTCTGCTCGTATATTTTCTAGTAGAAAAGGCTGGAAACAAGCTTTGTTTCGATTCAGAAGTCGATCAGCATTCGTTAAGTCCCTACCATTCACAATCTTTTTCAGCGACAATGAAATATACGAAATTAGTCTATTTCAGTTTCCGGACTGTTGTTAGATTTTCAACGAGTAAAACTCTTCTTTATAGACTCAACAAATTCCCTGTTGGATGACTGCAAAGCAACTCGTGGATTGAGGTGGCTGAAAGGACCTAAGGCCACCAGTCAATGTTTAGGCCCAGGGAGGGGGCCGGGCATAGCCCGGTTATTTGACCCAATGTCTTTTCCCTTGGCTGGGAATAGAAGGAGGTTTAATAAAACTAAAGATGCCGAGGGCGGCCCGAGGGCGGGATGTTTGATAATGTCACGAAAGAGCCTGGAACTTAGCTCAAGGACCGCCATAATTATTGAATTTTACCCAGAAAAACCTGGAATCGAGGTTGCGTGTCATATCACCCGCTATCCTAAAATTTCGTGTTCTTCTAACGTTCGCTCTGTTCCACTACCGTTCACCTGATTCCTTAGATTTACAGAAATACCGCTGTACAAAATGTGAGACGTGATAAGACTTAAAAGAAAGTCTTTGGTAGCCAGTAGTTTCGAAGACTGAATTTGCTCGGCAGATAGGTAGTCTATAGTTGTTTAATTTGACCTCAAAATAAAAAAAAAATTAACATTAAAAAAAATTTAAAAAAAAGGAAAAAAATTAAAATTGACAGTCTCAGAAACGGGGCATGATGATATTACCTGTCCATTACACAAAGTTAACAAGCTATTAAAAACAGAACTAATAAATTATATCGTGTTGAGCGGCTTAACATAAAGTCGCTGGATTGGTTGAAGATGTGCAAGGGTTGGCACCTCCTGTGCTGTGTTGGCTTTAGTACTGATGATATGGACTGGAAGTGTCCCCACTGTGTTGTAGAGGATCTATGGCAAATATATATGCATTGTTAATTATTTAAGGGGCATTAACATTATAAAAATCATACATTCACTACCAGGGAAGGAGTATTTGACACGAGCGTTTGGCCCTTGGGCAGGAAATTTGGCATGAAAATAGGATAAAATGTCAAATCCCCCCTGGGTATGCCCGGCCCCACTCCCCTGGGGCAAGACATTAACTGCTTTTACAAAGGCAGGGAACTTGGCCCAAAACTCATGAACCGCTGTGACTTTTGAGTAGACTTTCATTTATTTCAATATTGTGTGAAAATCATCTTTCGAGATTTTGATTGGACTTCATAGTTTTCACTCATGAAAAACATCCTTCGCTCCTCTGATTACTCATCGACCTTGCTGTTGTTTTTAAATGTTCACTTTTTGTTTATTAAATCCTTTAGGTGTGTTTTGGTTCTCTCAAATGTGTGATGTCATATGGTTCTCCTAATTTATTTCGGGTTTGTGATCCAAACACAGTCTGCGACATGGGTATTTAAGCAAGTTCATTAAAGCTTTTATTTAGTGGGAAAAGCTTAGTAAATTAATTGGTTCCTCTCCTCTGGTTCCAAGCAAATGTGCTGGAGCTTTTAATTCTACGCAGTTGACGTAAAGGCCACTTTGAAAAAAAAAAATTTTTCAATGTACTGAGGCTCAGACTCCTTTATTACAGGACACAATAGAATTCAGGACACTTGTCAGCAGTCGGTGTAGTAGAAGGAAACTCTTTCTGCGATCAAGGGCATCAATAAAGATGCCCCTAAATCTTATAGAAAGTATTTAACTGATTTTTATATGGCCATGACTCCACTTGTGCTACCAAAATAAACGGACCATTTATTGATAAGGTCAGAATAGCTACTCAAATACGAGAAGTTTCAATGAAGCTGGGTTAGCTGACTTCGAAAACCTATCATCTCCTTATCAGTAGCAGTATTTTCGTGGGGGATTTACGGGTCATTTATTGTTCATTTTATTTTATTCTCTTTTTTTAAACCTGTCTTCATTTCATATCATGTCATATCTCACCATAATCAGCTAAACTACGACCTAACAATTGGCCTGCATGCTATCCAGTTAGCTCGATAAGTTCCCTTTTTTGGTAGCAATGCGCTCGGTCATCTCAGAGAGGATGGGGGTGGTTAAAATTCCGGCCAGACTCTTACGATGACCTGGATTACGACAATCCTTATTTTCTGAAGTAGAAATGGATCATCTGAGCTAACGGATAACTGTCTTCATTTTGGGTGTTGACTGTTAGTTCTAAAAGGGGCTGCTTCAGTTGTCGCATTTGATGATATGAGGGCGACGCCAACAGTAAACCGTTGCAAGAGTCAACGAGTGGAATTGACACAGGTCCGAATTTTCAAAGGTACATTATACATATCACAAGCTTTTATGTGAGAACAAACTAGAGCAGGGACAGTTTTGAAGTTCACTGATCTTCACTGTTCCTTCAATTATGTGCAATTATCGATAGAATTGTTCTAGCTAAGAAACGATGGAGCTGACACAGATCTTTTTAAAACTGGTTTGTTGCGATATGTTGTTGAATAAGCGTTTTTAAAGTAGAAAGTGTGTGTATGCCAGGAAGCTGATCTTATTGGGCGAAGTTGTTGTTGTTGAACAACCTTCTTCACAACCGGTTCGAATCTGTTTGTTTTTTTCTCCAATAGAATAGCGTCAGTGGTGGACTGGATTGCCCGAGGCTTCTTAATTATCAGCAGTTCTAGCACAGCACTTCTAAATCGTTGACGTGTAAAACAATATATTAGGGGATTCAGTAGAGAGTTAAGCTGCAATATCAAGTCAGACCAACGGAAAACTGAACTCACAATATAGAACGGCGGACTTTTAAGAAATGCCAACATGGTAATGAAAATTTGTTGAACATAAGTGATGAACAGGGTAAAAGTTATCATGGCGCAAGTCTTGGCAACTTTGGACTGGAGTTTCAGTTCAGCTCTAGCTGCGGCAGTTTGGTTGATCATACTTTTCTTGCGTTGGAGTATCCCAAGGTACACCATCAAATAGAAGTAAAAGATCGCAATAGGAAGGCCAAATGCTGTCACCAAATTCAAAAGGCTTTTAATAGAGTAAAGAAAGTACAGAAGGGTCCAGCCTGGCTTTGGAGGAGAAGCTGAAAAGCCTAAAACTATCGCTGACAACCAAGATATTGCCACCAGCTTTTTCATGCGGCGTTCAGTTAAGATGGTCTTGTAGTTAATCCACTTTCTTATCGCCACGTATCTCTCCCAAGCGATCACCGCTAAATGGATCAGGGAAGCCGAGGCTAGAATATTCAAAATCCAAAAGTTGACTAGGTTTGTTGTACAACCTTTCCCAATAGAAACTTGACCGAAAATTAGCAAATCACTAATTGCGTCCAACGGCATGCATATCGCACCAACTAGAAGATCTGTAATGGCCAGGCTAAATAACAAAATGTTGGAACTTTTCTGCAATTCTTTTTCTTTCTTTAAAATAACCATGACTAAAGTGTTCAAAACAACTGTCGAGGGACAAGCAATGGATATAACTGTGGCTAAAGCCCAGCGAGTTGTGGAGTCATTAAGATCCCATTTCAATTCTGGCGAGTGAGCGCAAGAAGCCAGAGACATGAGTTTAGTCCACGAGGCATTAGTCAGTGTTTCTGTGCGGTTCAGAACCATTTTGATGTAAAAAAAATGATGAAATATGATTAAAGGCGGCCCGTAGAGCGCCGGTTTTTTAGGACGGATCTCCACTCTCAGGTTTTGACTAATGCATTACTGTCAAGCTTTTTTCAAGGCATTTTTTGATCACTTTTAGTCGATAACAATTAAGAAAACCATCTGCTCTAGTTCCTAAAGTGACAAGTTTTTGAATTTGAGAGTACAGATGAACTTCCAATTAGCAAATACCAATATTAATTGGAATTAAGTTCTAATTATGTAGGGTTAATTTGTATCGAAACAGCTGTCAAAATGATTTGTTTTCTGGTCGCCTTTTCTCAAGCGCTGGCGTTCATTCTTAAGTCGTGAAAACAAGATTATACTTTTATTTTCTGAGCACACTCAAGCAAAATATTCCCTTTCTAACGCAGGGCACGGTTTCTTTACTGACCCAATACCTGAAAATGACTCAACAACGGACAGAAAAATTTTAGTTGTTATTGGGATATATTTGCAAGAAAACCATCTGCTCCAGCTAGTCCCTCAAATGACAAGTTTTTGAATATGAAAGTACAGATGAATTTCCAATGAGCAAATACCAATATTAATTGGAATTAAGTTCTAATTATGTAGGGTTAACTTGTATCGAAACAGCTGTCAAAATGATTTGTTTTCTGGGCGCGTTTTCTCAAACGCTAGTGCTCACTCCTAAGAAAACAAGATTACACTTTTATTTTCTGAACACACTCAAGCAAAATATTCCCTTTCTAACGCTGGGCATGGTTTCTTTACTGACAGTCACTTGCATAGATAACCCTTTCGGTGTAAAAGGTTGCCAAAGAAAAAAAAATTTCCCCCCTCCCCGAAAAATAAATAAATAAATAAATAATAATAAAAAATTAAAAGTACCAGGCAAAAGTTCTACATGAGAGATTCTCTTTGAATGGTGACAACAGGATGTCGTCCACAGATTTAAATGTTATTTAAAAATAATCTCGTTACAATGCACGTGGTCTAGAGGGAAAAGGGTTAAGCTAAGCTACTAATTGTGTCTCATGACAGAATACTCTAATCTGATTGGTTATTAATTCATCGGACGCTTCAAAAGCCAAGAAAACCAATTAACAAATTTTTAATACTAGCCGATGAAATTTAACTACGCAGCCAATAAATAAATAAATAACCAATAAAGATCACCGAAAAAAGAGGTTGTCAAGGTTCAGCTTGAAAAGGTTAATGGACGAAATTAACTGGTTCATTGACTATTATTCTGACATTTTTTCTTTAGACTTTGAATACCTGTTTAGCAGTATTTATTTAGAAAACGTTGAAGCATATGAAAACGACACAGCTCCTGAAGTCGAGAATGCAACAAACCGAGCTGAGAGGAAGGGAGGGTGAGCAAGCGAGCTATCCTCGCAGAAACAAGGATGGAAGCAAAAAAACGTATCAAGATACGAATTGCTGGTTTTCTCATGAAGCTTCATAACGTCACCAAAATTCAAATTAAAGAACTATCAATCCTACTGAGTTTTTACTTCTATGACGTGTTAGAGCAGCTAAATACTAATATTTACTCAAATTTTCACTCTGAAAGGGCAATTCCTTATGTGATGCAGTACGCTTGAATTTCTAAGCTTTTGCATGAAGCGACATTTACTTTGCGGCCACTGAGATTTGTTATGAAGGTAAAAAAAAGTGACTTGTTTTGGGAGATTTTCATATCTGAACAATCATAGTATTACAAAAAGTATTACTTTAAGAGAGAGATGAATTCACCCTTTCGTAGCAACGCTAGTCAGTAGGATATTTCTGTTGGCTTCCGGCCACCATGTTGGTGCCCAACCGAATATGGTTGTGACTAGAATGGATACTTCAAAATCAGGTTGGACGCCTTACATTTATTACACAACGCCATACTCTACACCACGCTAGTACTATATTTAGGCGAATTTACTGGGCACGAGAACTTTTAGAAAAGTGGGAAATCAGAGTAAGAGACAGTTGTGTAAGGAAATTGGCTGTTCATGCTTCACGGGCACCCAACATCAATTTTCGGAAAATATCTGTTCGGAAGACGATTTGAGATCTAGAATTTTCGAAACATTTGTTGTAAAATTTCTTGCTTGCCTGCCCTCTCCTAGGATTTTCGAACATCTAAAAAATGTTATAATTGCCCATTTTTAACGGATTTTTACCCTAAAAAGGTCACCTAGAATTTTCGGTAGCCTTTTTTCTGGCTGAAATTTTCGAAAAGGTAAGTTTTGATCCCTATAATTTTCGGATCACTAGACTTTCAGCTAGGAAATCCGAACAGATGAAAAACTTTTAGGGGACAAAAATATGCCTATATCTACCGTTTAAATACGAAAATACGTTTAACAATGCTATGTTTAAGTGGATTTGAACTATATTCTCGTTTGGTGCCCCTGATGCTTTTATTTAGGTCAAAACTGTGAGATGAATAAATACGTTTAATTGCTTGCAGAAGAGCGGTAGTCTTTTCGAGATGAGGAACTCAGAAATAAAGTCGTTGAAGATACTTATTTATCCCACATTTTTGTTTTAATTGCTGCTTCATAAACATTTCATAGTTAATAATTTTACTTTTAGAAGAAAATACACGAGCATCTGGTGTTATTGCTTCGACGTCACACAAAAGAGCGCAAAAATTACATAATCATATACTTAAGAGCAGTTAACCTTAATGGATATCAGATATCGAATAACAACTTAGATTTAAGTAATTTAATGATAATTGACAAAATGTTTCATAACATAATAACGTAAATGTTAAATTATGTGCCTTTTACCCACTTCAGAAGTCCTTAAGTAAAATACAGGAGAAAACCATAAAGTCAAATGAAGTACAATCATTTTTAGTTCTTGGATTTGCTGACGTGATCTTTTAGTGGGTACGGTGGTTAAATTACGATTCTGATAGAAATATGAAGAAAAATTTTAACCCTGCTGAATATATGACAAACATTTTTTTTTTTTCGATCAGTGACATAGGCGGCCTGGAAGAAAAGAGTAATTTCTCATAAATAACTATTTGACGGCTGTACTACAGTATTTTCGGTGTAGCTTTTGATTCTAATGAAAGGGATTAATATTTTAATTTTGTCTTATTTTGTCTTGATAGAATTGATCACTTATGCAAATCAGTAACTCAGAAATATTAAGTCATTGAAGGGAATTATTATTTTATGGTTGCTCAGAAATGAGTGGCTGCTTTGTCATAATGAGGAAGCGTTCTGAAAATGAAGAAATTATTGCACTTTAACTTCGCTAAATTAAATTAAAAAACACTACTTGATCAGAGCTTCCAGTTAAGATTTGCAATTCAAAGGTGCATCTGTTCTTTTCCCACTGAAACGAAATTGTTAGATCGGGAAAAAATCGCGAGTTCATTAAAAATCTTGGTTTCTTTTTTTCGTTGTTTTTTCAACTTCGAAGCGAACATTACTATAGGTAATTCCATCAAAAATACCCATACTTTCTTGTGGTCTTGGAATGATTTGTTCTTTCAAGAAAGGCCTTACAGGGGTTGCAAGCATTAGTATTCCAAAGACAGTAAAAGCAACTGACAGCTTTATTTGCGCGCTTAATTATGTTTACTGCTGATGGTAGATTGGTTGCTAATTCTGAGATTAAACGCCGAGTTCAAATGACGGCTTTTTGTCATCATGGGCTGAGTTTGTCGGAGTGTTTCGCGCTGTTTTGAGTTGTCTGATTATGCTTTATATGTAGCTGCTAAAGTACCCTCCGTATTTAATCGATTATAAGCACCAAACCTCGAATAACCGCCCAACCTATAGGTAGGATAAACAAGCGCTCAGCCTCGAATAAGACACAACACCACCCACCCACACGCCGCCACTACCGCCATCACCAAAAACTTGTGGATAGCCTTAGTCGAGGAGGTACTACTAAGAGGAGACCGAGTTTTCTTAGCATTTTAAGGCAACGTGCAATAAACACAATAAACAAAATAAACTTCTATCTAACTGAAGATGGAGAAAAATTAGTTATTATAAGCGCACAGCCTCCAACAAGCGCCCAGTAGATCCAAAATTTAATAAGCGACCAGGGCGCTGAGTCAAATAAATACGGTAAAATGAATAAAGAATTCTATTTGTTCGCGAAAGAGCGGCAGTCTTTTCCGTGAGAAGGCACTCAGAAATTGAAGCCATTCTGCAGGTGCGTCTTTATCCCAGATTCTGCTTTAATTACTTCTTCACAAAATTATGTTTTAAATAATATTTGCTGATTAAGGGTTTATTTGAACTTGTTGCATTTAAACTTAGTCTACAAATGGTTACTCTCAAGAGGAAGAATGGAGAATTCTTCCTCAATTGTCCTTAACCGCCATTTGCTCAAAAATATATTATGGCACCTGACTACCTGAAAGGGCTATTCCTGTTCATATTTTCTTTTTCTCCCTTCCTTGTCGCAGTTTTAATACAAATATATATCAGTTTTTTGGGGGTAATCTTTTTTTAATCACAGCAAAGAATGGAGGTTTATTATATAAAAGAAAGTTAACCGTGTTGGCAGTTTTCATTTTTATTACAGTCTTGGAAGCGTTAATATCGAAGGTGGCTCTAAACGACTCAGAAACACCACCATCTACTAACTCATCAGCCATACTAACCTCTGTGGATTCTTGCGTCCAAGAGCCAAACACAAAATGGGATCTAAATTACATTACTCGTTTGGGAAAAGCCGTAGTCATATCCGCTGCATCTCCCTTGACCGTTCTTTTTAACACCTTAATAATGATAATTTTGAAGAAAAGAGAAGTATCAGTACAGAGGTGTTCGAACATTCTGTTGTTCAGCCTGGCCATTACAGACCTTCTTGTTGGTGCAATATGCATGCCGTTAGATGCAATTGCGGATATATTAAATTTAGGCCAGTTTTCTCTTGTGAACATCTGTAAAATAAACCTATTTAGCAGTTATATTTTCAATATCTTCATATCGGCTTCGGTGATCCACCAAACAATGATCGCT